CCCCATAGTCCAGGCAAACCAGGAGTGTTGGTCAGGAGTAGGTAATGACTTGCAAGTCATCCAGAACTCCCCATTCTTTTACATTTACATCTGGTCAGTCACAAAGTTGATTCAATCTTCTGTTAACTCTCAAATCCACCCACTTGTTTTCATCACTACTGTTACTGCTGTAATACATATTAGCTGTATCTTAAGGTATTGTGAAAACTCCTAAACAACGGCCCTCCTCTCTGAGACATAGTCTATTCAGCAACAAGACTGATCTTTCTAAAGTGTCGATCTGATCATGTCCTACTTCTGGTTAATCCCTTCAATTTCTTTACATTGACCTCAGAATCAAGTCCAACTGTTTAGCCTGGCTTACAAATCTCACTTCAATTTCACTCCTACCTAACTCTCCAGTCAATTTCTCCTTAGAATTTTGTGCTCTAATCACATTGGTCTTTGTTCATCAAAGTGTAATGTTCTTTCTCATCTCTTGGCTTTCAAACACATTCTATCACTTTACACATATCCCCACCTGTTATGATCTCACTCCTATTCATCTTTCAGCTCTCAGTATAAATAACATGCCTCACGTCTCTTATCCTTGGAGCAGATTAAGTCTTAAATACTATATAGCATGCTAAATACTTTCCACAGCATACTGAATACCTATGTTGTAAAAGTTAGAATCATATATTAAATGTCTAGTCCAGTAGACTATGAGCTCTATGAAAATAGTGATCATATTTCTCTTGTCACTGTTTTGTTCTAATACTTTTCATAATTCTTGGTCCATTGTAACTACTCAGTAAGCATTTATTGACAAACGGAAGAAAGAAAGGAAGAGAGGGATGGAGGGAGAGGAAAAAAGAAGGGAGGGAAGGAAGTAACAACGATCACTCAATCAGTCCTGGGTGAGTCAGAGGAAAGAAACAGTCAGGAAATTTATTGAATTAATAAGACCTTGAGACCTTAAAAAGTATTTACACATTCATTTCACATTTGTTTCTTATAACACCTCTGTGAGAAAGTATTATCATGCACTTTTTACAGTGAGGAACTGGGGCTCAAAAAAGTGGTGTCAAGGCTCATCATGTTTGTTGGGTGAGAGGACTGACAAACAAAATAGATGCAGTCAGGCTCCCTCCCAGCAAGCCATGGGGTTCTCAGGTAGCCTTAGCTAGCATCCCGGGCAGCCCCAGATATAGCATCCCAGGTGACCTTAGATACAACGTCCTATGTAACCTTAGATACAGTGTCCTATACAACCTGTAGCTTGTGATTGATTATAGTACTTGGCCTTAAGCCACTATTATGCACCTTGTTATAAGAACAGCCCCACCTGTGCAGGCTGGGGGAAGCTGGAACTGTGCCTGTGACTTCCTGTGTCCTGCTATGCCTGAATAAAGCTATGTCGCATCTGCCCACAGCTCCTCGCATATTCTTCCAGCTGCCAGAACTGCTCACCCCAAGCTTTGGTACCCTGAACTTGAAGAATGATATTATATCTTCCAGTTGAAATCCCATTTCCTTAAATTTCCTCTTGTCCCATTTCCTCAAGACCTAGCTGAAATACCACCTGCCCCCTAAGCTTCTCCTTTTCTCCCCCATGGTCCTAATAGTATCGTTTTCTTCCTCTTCTCTAACTCCACAGCACACTTTATTTTCCTCCCTAATGGTTCTTTGCACGGTGCTCTTTATATTGTACCTATTTATATTTGTGTTCCATTCCAGTCTCTAAAAAATAAAAAAAAAGTTAAAGATATAATCTAGATCAGGTTAATATTTATTAGCATAAAGTTAGATGCTCGGTAAAAATGTTAATTGGAAGCTATCTCTAAGATTTAGTCTGATCTCCTCAATCTACTATAAAGAACAAGTCAGTCAGAGAAGTTATTTCATATCTACCAAAGGTCACAGAGCAGCATGCTGCTTCCTGCTTCTTTGTGCCTCCTTCCTCCACCCACCCAAGCATGGAATATAAGAACAGTAAACTTGGAGCCCTGAGGTCTTGCTATGCCACCACTTACTCTTTGTGTAAATATCTGAGGCTTAGTTTCTGCATAGGTGATGATAGAGATATCATTTGTTTTATAATGCCACTTCCCAGCAGTGCCTGGCACATAACAATTTTAGCCTTTGACAATCTTAGAAAATATTAATGAGTTATAGTTGCAGAAACTTGATGCTACACAGTCTCATCAACCAACAATCCTTAAAAAGTCTAATATGTAAACAGAAATAGAGTGAACTTAAATAGACAAAATACTTCTGAATCTTCTAGTTTATCCATTTTGTCACTAGGTTTTGTGAAGGTTATCTCCTCAAGGCAGAACAGCCTTGAGCGACCATATATTTGCATAATGGCTTTTTAGTTGCTTCTTTGGCTCATTTGCTTTCCACAACTAATTGATTACCATACCTATGCTAAGGCCTGAAGGCATCTTTGCTTGGATCAGTTACATGCCCCTATGACAGGTGAAGAAGAATGTTTATTTCACCTCAAAAAGGTGAAGAAAGTTCATTTTCTCATTTGGTATATATTTCATCTAGGAAATTTAAGGTTTTTAATGTTTATTAGGAGGTAAAAATTTTTCCAAGGCCTATTTGAAAATTAAAATAGGCAATATCCCTAGACCAGAAAAGTATCAGCCCTTTCTCTTTTTGTTATGACAGTTGCCTTGGTGTTGGGTAAAGTGGAATTAGGAAGACACTAAAGATCTTCTAATATTGGGATCTGTAAGGTATTTGGCAGTCTTGAGTTAGGCCACTGTCTAGAATCCTAAATTGTGATGAACTCTTCAGGGCCAGTAAAATCTAATATTTTGTGAGTCAAACAGTAACATATATTTCTTTACATTACCCTGGGAACATTTAGGATATGGGCACTGGAAGATGGGTTTTCGTACAGGTAATCAATATAAGGAATGTTAGAAAGTCCTAGACAAAAAACACCAAAGGGGCAGAAAGAATCTTTAGAACAAACCAGTAACAAGGAAAGTAACAATTATGACCTGTGGAGATCAGTTCATAAAATTCTAAAATCAAAGTTGCATTTGGGAAAAGATCTTTTCTGTCATATTCATACTATATCCCCAATATCTAGAATAGTGTGTGGCACATTAGGGTGCTCAATAAAGTCCTATTAAGTAAACAAATATCTAAACATCCGGCTTGGGAAAGGTGACTATGAAAGAATGCTAACAGCTTTACATTCAAGGTCTAGGGATGGTAAAGTTAAAAATAGGAGAGAAAACACCTTGTGCCTTATGGGCTTGATGAACTACAAAAAATCAGTTCTCAACCTTTAATGTCTTTTAGACCATGAGGGAAGCCCAGTGACTGGATAAGGGCTGCTGCTGAGAGCCTGTCCACGTTGGATAAGAGTACAAACTTAATTCTAAGGCATTACAATATAAATGCAAGGACTCATTAATATTTCAAAATCTTGTCAAAAAACCCTGACAGAGAGGACCCAAATGATAGTCCATAAGAAACAAAACAAAATGAAATAATTAAAGCTTAAGGATTTTCAAAAGCACAGAAAAAAAAGAAGACTCCAAAACTGAACACTTGAGAAAAAGGAATAGTGATTATTTTTGCGGTGTAGATTCCAAAACAGAGCCTGGTAAAAGAAGTACCATGTTATTTTGAAGGCCCTCATGAGCCGATCAACAGTGTTGTCCTTTTCTTGGCAAGATTTAAAGTATGCATCTACACATATGTCTGTTAATTGAGAGATATGCACTATTATTGGGCTGAGTTCAGAGACTCAAAGCAAAGACCTACCCCTGGCCCAGATTCCACGGTCAAAAGGAAATTGAGGAACAGCAGTATAGTTGACTTGATATAGCAAAGCAAAAACCAGGCCCAGGAGGATATTTTTATCTTTTAATAAACAGTTCTCATTATCATCATCAAATGCCTACATTTTTACAAACCTGAGCTTCTCAGCCCAGCATTTATAAAAAACTGCCAAGTATTGTTTATAGATAAAAGCACAATTCAATATTTATGAATTGCTAGTTTTCTATAAATATAGATATTTTGAGATGATCTTCTCACTAGTCATTAAAATTTGAACAGGGATCAAAGCTAGAATAATATTAACAATTCCTTGCATTTGTATAGTGTTTTAAATAATACTATTAATAATAGATGACATTTATTGAGCACTTAGCAAGTGCCAGACACTTTACATGTAAATTCTCATAATGAATTCAGTTCAGTTCGACAATCATTCACTTAACACCTACTGTGTGATACATGAATAAAACTGAGTTTCTGTCTTTAAAAACTCTTATTTTGGTGTACTCAATCAGTATTTGTTGAATGAATAAATGAATGAATGAATAAACAAAATAATTGGTTTGTATAGCAGTGTGAGGTAGTCAAAATAACACAGGCTCCTCCTCCCTTTACCATCTATGATCTTTAGAAAGGACTTACCTTTCTTAGCCTCAATTTCTTCATCTGAATATCATCATCATCATCATCATTACTATTATTGAGCAATCCTATCCAACTCTGATCCCCACTATAGCAATGGTACAAATAGAACTTTAACATCCACGAAAACACAACATCTATACAAAAACAACACAAAAAACAAGCAAAGCAAGGAAACCTACTAAACTGTAGTTCCCAATGTCCCCTAGGTTACTGCATGACATCTCTGCTCAGATTAAAAAATAATAATAATTAAATAAACTTTAATTGAGCTTCCAAAGATACCATGATAAGAGGCAAACAGGATAGGAAGTTAACTAAATAACAAACTGCACCTTTCCTCATAATAGAATGTTGGTCACTCCAAACAAACATGGAATCATGTTCCATATCCTAACATTAAAAAAAAAAAAAGTAGTACCTGGATCCTAACCAAGGGCCATCCAGAAACTCATTTTATTCTTCATAGTGCCAGTGAGGCTAAGCCCTATCCATACAGCAGATAAACTTGAGTTCTGGGTCAAATTATCCAACCTGAAAGAGATCTCATTCTGTGGGTCACTTACCATTTTGGTCTGCTGGTAGATTTCACCATAGGGGCCATCCCATCTCTATAAAGACTCTTGGTTTTGCTGAAGTTAACAATGTTGAAAATGACTCTCTGAAAAAGAAAGAGGGAGAAGTTTATCAGAAGACTATGTTATGTAAGTTGCTACTTCCTGATAATTAGGACTGGAAACAATGAGCAGGATTAAAGGAATCTATATGGACTAGCTGCCAACAGTATAGTGAGAATAAAAGATGCCCACAGAAATTCAATGTGTTTGTTCCAGCTTAGCATAGTAGTTAATGACACAGACTCTGGAACCTCGAAGTCTGAGTTTTAATTCCACTTTCAAGCTGTGTGACTCAGCCAAGCTACTAAAACTTTCTATGTCTCAGTTTTATCACCTAAAAAATAGAAATAATGATGATACCTGGGGTCACTGATGAAAATAAAATAAGTTAATATAGGTACAGTGCTTGGAACCTTATTTGGTATGTAGTGAATGCTATATAAGTTTTGGCTATTATTAATTGTGCTGTCTCTCTAGGCTGACCTAGAATTTGCAAGAAAATTAATAATATTATCTATCATTACAGTGATAGTAATGCATTTGAAGTTCAACAACCTAAAGATAATAATTGAGTGCAAAATTGTTGTTAAAAACTCTGAAACTGCTCAGCACCCCTTTGACTAGGACTGCCTCCAGATATATATCCTCTTCTGTACCCGCTTTGTTATCTTCTGCTAACGGATAGGGGTTCTGGGCTCAACCCTAATTACAGCATCAACTTACAGAGGCATAGGTACTTGGGTAAGTCTCATTTGTCTCTAGGTCTCACCTTTAAAATGGGGGCATGGGGTGTTCTAGATAACTAAAGCCCTTTCAGGAAGGTAGTACAATTTTAAAAAGATCAGATCTTTCTTTTAATAAACAACTTTGTCAATACTGGGGAGAAGATATTGGGAAAGAGAAGAGAACTGGGGTTAAAAGATACTAAATGACCACTGAACAGTCTAAAAGAGGACCAGAGCAAGGACAGCCAGAGAGTTGAAGAAAAGGAAAAGCTTTCAAGAGGTTACCATAGACTAGTTTTTCTATCCAGAGGGGAGCATCAAAATTCATGTATTATTTCACTGAATAAAAGTTTATTGAATGACATACTATATATTATTAGTTGCCAGGTATTTTACACACTTTTACAATGTTTAAATATTCTCCTGTACTACAATAAAAAATATTAACATCTCTATTTTACAGATGTGAAAACTAAGGCTCAGAGAGGTTGACTAACTTGTTTAAAGTCATGCAATTAATAGATGGAGAGTTGATATTTGAATCCAGTGGATAAAAGATAAGATGCCCATGATTTCTACCTTTATGTTACTCACTAAGATTTTAAAATTCCTAACTCTGATCAAGTCTGTTTTCCAAAATAAGAGCAAAAATAAGTATAATGGCAATTTTTCAAGCCCTTAAATTTTTTGTGTTTTCTTGAAAAGAGAAAATCAAAACCATTTCCTCTGGTCTCATATTAGGGACTACCATGAAATTTTTTGTTCTATGAAATAAGCTCTTAGGAATAACTCATGTTTTTCTTTTTCCTCAGAGACCTAGCCATTGACCCCATCTCCAGACATTTCAGTTTCAGCCTTCCCTTCTGTCATTATATTAAGTCATCAAGAATATCTAAGGCTATTCCATTATTAATAACATGAACCTGCCTGTTGTCAGTTCAATTACTTTTTCCAAGGTCTTGGCTACTGTCTGCTTTAAGAAAATCAATATCAAGGGGACAAATGGCCTTTGAACCTCGCAGGGCTTAAATCCCTCTTTCTTTTTCTTCTGAGATTCCAGGTGTCAGATCCATTTCTAGTGAACCTGGAAGCCATACTGCATTTTCAGGATCTAGATTAATACTAAATGCAGGAGAAAATCTAATACAGAAATAACATGCAGATGTGAAGCTAGAAAAAATAAATAAGAAAGTAGAACAATTATTATTAATATCCTATTCTGTACCAGGAAAATTTCCTAAGTGTTTTAAATATGCTATATTTTTAGCGTCTCTATCCATAAGCAAAAGCTGTTTATTTTCGCCCAACTTGAGACATGAGGCAATTGAAGCTAATAAAGGTTAACTGGCTTGTCCCCTCAAAATCCCAGAACTATTAACTGGTAGAGCTAGGATTTAAATCTTAAGTGTTCTGACCATAAAGATCATACTTTCTCTACAACACTACATGCAAAAGGAACACCATCTCTTACCATTCCCATCCATGCATTTTTTATTTATGTTTTCCAGCCTATTTAGGAAGGTAGCATGTGGTTGTAAGAACCAAAGGTATTTGGAAGTAGGCAGTGCAAAACATCTTGGTTTTCCATATTTTACACTTAAATATGGAAATGGCATCTATGAGGTAATGGTAACAATAACTTAATAATAACAAACAACTTTTGAGTACTTTCTATGTATCAAATTTTTACACATTCTTCTTAATTTTTCATGTATCGAAGAAGTAATAATAGGAATTAGAAAATATTTAGAATCGGATGATCAATTTATCACTATATATCAGAGCTTGTGGCATGCAGAAAAAACAGGATATAGAGAAGTTAAATTTCAGCCTTATGTGTATGTACTCGAAAAGAAGAAAGACTGAAAAAGAAAGTTCTAAGTACTCAACTTAAAAAGAAAGAAACAAATAATTCACATCACAGAATCCCAGAGACACAAAACATTAGAAGCATTTGGTACCTCTGAAAGGTCGGGGATCAGGCAGGGAAGATCCAAAGTCCTTACAAAGAGAAATTAAGTCTCCAGATTCTTTCCCTCACACCACCACCTAAGTGACAAGGACTGTTTCTTCACTGTGATGGGATCTAGTACTTGTATTATGTAGCAGAATTATTAAAGAATTTAATCATCTTTATAATACAAAATTGATAATGAGATCTATAACTAAACTAAATAGAGAATAGCAGTAAAGAAATTTTATTTAGAAATATAGCACATCAGAGAAAACAAAGAAAAGAAATATAAATGATTGCCACACAAGTGCAAGGGCCAAATCCTGCCTGCTGTCTGTTTTGTATTTAAAAAAAAAAGCCATGCTCATTCATTACGTGCTGTCTGTCTATGGCTGCTTTTGCAACATAACAATAGAGTTGAGTAGCTGTGACAGAGACATGAAAGCTCAAAAAGCCTAAATTACTTCCTACTTTTTTCTTTACAGAAAAAGTTTGCTGATCCTTGCTTTAAGAAGCAGGAATCAAAAGTGAGAGAATAAGAGGGCTATTTTCTTTTAGTCTTTGTAGTATCATTTTATTTTTAAAATTATGTACATGAATTTATTTTCATAAAAATTAAAATTTTAAGTAAAAATTTTTTAAAAAGAAGATAGAAAGCTACCCGACTTATTTCATGAGTATATTCTCAACTTGAAGCAAAAATAGGCATGAGCGCTGGAGAATGGAAAAGTATAGCCCTGTGTCAGTTATAAACATTTATTAAAAATTTTTAAATAAAATATTACTGATCCAAATCCAGCAGTATATTTATACACACACATAGTATATGAGTACAAAGTAAGACATATCATAAAAATGGAAGGATGATTCAACATCAAAAAGAGCTATAATGTAAGTCATCCTATTGACAAATTAAGTGGAAAATACTAAATTATCAATAAATAGTTATAGTAAAAACATGATAAAATTCAACATCCATTTAAAGTTTTAATCTTTGAAAGCTTGAGCTAGAAGAGACTTCATCTTATAAAGGGTATCTATTAAAAATTTACAGCAATCATTTTTAATGGTGAAATGTAAGAAATACTCCTTGTAAGGCCAGAAAACAAGGTTGCCACTATTGTTGCTCTATTCAACATCATACTGAAAATTCTAGTGCAATAAAATTAAAAGAGGCAGTAAAAAAATATGCAAATTAAAAAGAAAGATGTAAAACTCATTATCCACAGATGATGTGATTGCCAATATATGAGAAACTAAAGAAAACTTTTAGACCAAATAGAGTCCAAGAAAGTGGATTTCATGAAAAACATACAAATTTCAACAAGGAATGTATAAAACAGTGGACCTATATTCAAGAAAAATATAGAAAGAGCACAATTTACGCACATCAGGAATAAAAAAGAGAACACAAGTATAAACAGGAAAAATATTTAAAAGTTTGTTGTACTAAAAAGATATTATGCAATGAATTTGAAAAATTAGGGGAAAGAGCAAATCCTTAGAAAACAGAAAATATCTTACCAAAATTGATAAAAAATACACAAAATCTGAGTAGTTCTATTAAATTTATAAAGGTAATTGAATATATTAATGAAAACTTTCCTGCAAAGAAAATGCCAGGCCCAGACAACTTCCATGGTTAAGACTTCCAAACACTAACAGAAGACAAAACACCGATTTTACACAAATTATTCCAGACAGTTGAAAGTGAGGGAACATTTTCCAGTTTGTTTTATGTAACTCACATAACCTTGATAATGAATTCTGAAAATGATACTGCAAGAAAATCTCTTTCCAAAATATCTAAACAAAAAATTAGCAAATTAAATCCAATGGGAGTGGGGGAGAAAGAGAACAATAAACCATATTAATTTTAATTTACTCTAGAAATGTAAGCTTGTTTTGATTCTAAAATTAATCATTGTAATATACCATATTTTTATATTAGTTTATATAAAAAGGTGGAGAAAAATCATTTGATAAAATGTAACACTCTTTAACAATAATCAACTCTTAGAAAACTGACTATAAGAAAGATCTTAATCTGATAAAAGATACCTACCTGAAGAAAAAAAGAAAAAAAGAAACCAACGGCAAAATCATGCTTAATCATGAAAACTTTAAAGCACTTGCAATGAATTTGGGAACAAGAAAAGAATGCCTGTTGGTGCTATTGCCACTCCTATTAAAGCTTGTACTGGAAGTTCTAGTCAATGCAATAAAGTGATAAAAAGGAAGAGAAGAAATAAAACTTGTATTATATACATAGACAACATGATTATGTATGTAGAATACTCCAAAATAATCTATAAAGTATTAGAATTCATTGATACAAAGTAAATATTAAAAAATCAATTGCATA